TTTTGTTGTGGACACACTGAGATGTTTTATTGGTTGATTCCAATACAACAGTTCTTTGGGGATGTTTTTAATACATTTATCATTACAATAAATTTGTGAAGTATGCTAGAGTGAGAAACAGTAGAATTGCTTAGGATGTGCTGGGACATGAACCCTGACCTCTCTGTAAATCCACCTTTCTGCTAATACAGAAAATAAAACCAAACTGCTAACTGGAACCATGATGAAGTGTTAAATAGTTTTAACACATGAGAAGGCCCTGATGCTTGGAAAAATCAAAAGCAATTGAAAAAGAGGCCAACAGAAGACAAGGTGGCTAGATACTATCACTGATAACACAGTACAGGTAGTCCTTGCTTACCGACTGCCTCATTTAGCAACTGTTCGAAGTTATGATGGTGCTGAAAAAATACTTTATGACCAGTACCTGGATTTACGACCGGGGGGGACTTGCATTCCAAAGAATGGGGGAGTGGGGAGAAGGAAAGCAGAGTCACAGTCATGTGATTTCCCACTTAGTGACCCTTCACTTAACAGTGGAGTTGCTGGGACCAATTGTGGTTGCTAAACGAGAACTATCTGCATGGGTCTTCAAGAACTCAACACAGGGGTTATTGCGTAATAATATAGACATCAGTGAAGGATACCAGGATGATTCCAGGTTTGAATTTGGATAAACCATATGTGGGCAGTGTCAAGAATGGATCTTGGGAAAAAATAGAAATGAAGGAAGAACAAAGAAATGAAAGACTTTATAGTGAAAATAGAATGGCTGCAAGAAGAGCAAATATGTATCTTTATGAAGAAGTATTAAGATAGATGAATCTCTCAACAGAATGAATGGGAAAGGGCATAAGAAAATCAGATGTGGAAGCTGCTTGGAATAAGGTGAAAAGATTTATGCTGCAGAGTGTCACAGAAGTATCTGAAGAGAAGGGTGAAAAAGGATGTTGGGTGGGGTAATGAAACAAAAGAAGCTGTGAATGAAGAAAAATGCAGATATTCCTGCAAATGGGTTGGAATACAAAGAAGGGGAAACTCAGAAATTAAATATTTACAGTACCTGTATTATTTTTATAGTTTGTTTTTCCTTTTTCCTTTTTCTTCTTTATTTAACCTTTACAAACAATAATATAGTGGAGATTTTGGCACTAAACTCAAAAATGTATCCTTTTTATATCATAAAAATAATCTAATATACTCCACTTGGAACCTTTACTGATGATATATTTTATAATAATTGCACAAGCTCAATAATTATCTGTCCATTCATAGGTCATATTTTGGGGGGAAATACACCTTTGTTTTAAATAAAATAAAAGGATTATAATAAAACTAAATAATAATAATAATAATAATAATAATAATAATAATAATAAAAAAAAAAAACAAGCAGGGAGTGTTTAATTGTTGACATACTTTTCAGAAAAAGGAAATAATGCCAGGATAATTGCTCTTCCTCAGGTCTTGAGAAATGTATGAATGTGAGAAAGAAGACATATTAAGTTTACGGTAGCTTTGTTGTCATGGAGTCCTTATTTATTTTTCTTTTTTTTTCTTCACAATTAACGTTTAATCCAGTGATATCTCTAAAACATCTTTTCTAAAACATCTTTTAGTTTTTCTGCCACCACCAAGCCTTCTCCTCTCTTTCTATATGTAGATCTGGCAGAAAGCGACTTGATGGACTGTGGGAAAGATACAGAAGAGCCTAGTCACTCTGTTGACATTGAATTAACTTGGATTAAATAACTTAAAATGGATTGTGAACAGGTTCCTTTAATATTATGATCCAGGTTAACTTTGTTAGAGCATTCTCTTAGCTTGCATTGCAAGATGACTCCCACAATGTATCTCTAGGCCAGCCTTTCTCAACCTTTTTACCCTGAAAGAACCCTTGAAATAATTGTCAGGTTTCAGGGAACGCCTGTGTAGAAATCACACACACACAATAATAACAATAAAATTTCACAATGTCATTCACTTCTAACCTACACAACCATGTTTTACAGCATTTACAACGACAGCAAAGCTGCAAGCTGGCAGCAAAGTTGCAGCCCATAAAAATTCCCCCATGGTGAGTGCTGGCATTGTGTGGTGTGTGTAGTTCAAAAGGTGATTTTTATTTTATTTTTTAATCACAGTTTTTCATGGAATACTGAGTGACTTCTGGTGGAGCCCTAGAGTCTCATGGAGCCCCAGTGGAGAAAGAGAGTTATAGCCCATCAGTCCTTTCCTTTCCGGTACAAAATAAATATCCATAACCTGCCTGATAGTTGGAGGTTTTCCCAGGACTAGGACTCCAAATTCTTCTGTCCTTCTACCCTCATCTCTCCAGTGTTTCTCCCCTTAGTCCCCTTTCCTTCCAGAATATAAACTGAGGGGAGGTACCCTGCATTCCCATGCTTTGAGTGACAGCTCTAAAACCCAATCATCACACAAACATTATCAATAGTAATGACTCCCTAGATAGAACATCATACATGGCTACATCTGGATAGGGCAATTTATCCTCTGTTTCGTTTTCTTTCTCGCAGCAGTTCTGTAAAGTTGGATGAGAAGTGATGAGTGGCCTTGTGTCTTAACAATAAAATTGGGATCCCCAAGTTCAGGCATAACATGAATGACACGTAGGGACCTCCCATTTCTTTCCAAGCTTCCATAAAATTGGCAGAGATTTTGTTCCGTCAATTAGTCCATTTCTATCAGCAAATGCATCATGCTGGCTCCTTGATTGAATTTCATTCTGCTTTGTGCTGGTTTTAATGTCTCCCATAATAGAAAGTGGTTTGAAAGCAGGGGGCATTTTATTTGAATATATCTTATCGTATATTTACTGGATGAAACTCTTCTTTTAAAAAAAATGTCATTCTGCAAAAAGATTGAAAGTCATAATATTACATTTGGTTTTAAGCCTTACTTTATTTTCGAGCCTCGGGAAAACCCACTAGGACAGCTATGGAAATTAAATTAGAATTTTCCCTGCACTTGGGTATCGATTCCAACTTTTCTCTGGTGAAAACATACATGCATTATTTTCACCGTTGCGATTTGTGAAACCTGAACAGAAAGCCCACTTCACTTCCCACGGCTGCCTTTTTTTTCTAAGCAGGAGACAGAGAACTGCAGCATGGTATCACGGCAGAGCTCTCACTTTATTTTAAATATCCTTAGATGTCTTACTTCTAATCCTCAATTATTTATCCAAGGTTATAAGCAATAAGGGCTTCAGAGAAGTTCTTTGCAGCTTCATTGAAACTCTGCGGAGCAGAGCGCCCCACCTCCTTGGTTTCATCGTATTTCTGCACGTCAGCCGAGACGACACTCGCCTAATCAAAGTGACTGACTGAATCTCAACAGGGCCTCACCACGTCCGATATTTCTTCTTGGCAAAGCAATACACTTCTGCAGGATAGATGGGGTGCATCCGCCAAGCCATAAGCAGTACATAAAGATAAATAATAAACTGGCTCCAAGCCTGGCTGGAACGGAGAGGCATCGATATTTTTTGTAACAAATCAATCAGTAAATAAAGTGTCTTTCAAATCGCAGTGCTCTGATGGTGATGATGCGCCTGTCACATCTCTGAACTCATCCAGATTAAATTAATGCCAATATATATTTTAAAGCTGAACAAAGAATGCAAATTACCTGTAGTAAAGGATAGAAAAGTCTAAGGGCCACTGGCTATGCACACTTGGTCATTTCTTTACTGTTTATGGTTTTTAAATAGCAAAAAACTTATTCAACTATTGATGTACAGGTAGCCCTTACTTAATGACCATTCATTTAGCGACTGTCCAAAGTTATCACGGCACTGAAAAAAGTTACAACTGGTCCTCGCACTTACAGACGTCACAGCACCCCTGCAGTCACGTGATCACGATCCAGGTACTTGGCAACCAGCTCGCACTTATGACAGTTGCAGTGTCCAGTGGTCATGTGATCACCATTCCCAGACAGTTTCCAGCAAGCAAAATCAATGGGGAACGTGATTTGCTTAAGGACCACGTGATTCACTTAACAGCCACCACAAAAAAGGTTGTAGAATTGGGTGTGGTCACGTGATGCTTCATTTAACAACCTCCCTGCTTAACTATTTATTTTCTGGTCCCTATTGTGGTTAAGTGAGGACTACCTGTATATAGAGTTGTTTCACAAGATGGGTGGTGAAAATTTGATGAATAAATAAATAGACAGTTTCTGACAAAATGGTCTCCAAGTGAAAAGAAAGATTAACTATGGTTTTCTACTGGACCACTAACTTCTAGATCAATGTACAATAAGTACACTCTAAGTAGAAGGACAATATATTATTCTTACTATTTTTTTTTAGTCAGTAGGACATGTAAACAACAAGTATCAATCACTGGCTAATTAATAATTAGTTTTAGTCAATAAATACTAGAAATGCTGAGCACCAAACTTAGGCATTTTTGTATGAATAGCAGGTATACTTGTAAATTATGATTCCTTCCCAGTACTTTTTCCATCAATTACTACTTATAATCTTTTTTATTAAATTGAAGGCTCTAAAGTTTGAACCAGAGATGGCCTTGTTCACATGCAATATTTATGCTCTAATCCTAACAGTATTCTCCCTGAAATAGAGTTTTAATTTTAATTCCCCCCTCCATCTAAAACCCTCCTCTGTGAAATATGTGAATTATCAAGGCAGATTAACCAAGGAACAACTTTCTCCATCACAGTTATCCATCATATTGAAGAATAACCTCAATTATACAAGTTGATGTTTTCAGTTTACAAAGAAGAGATCAAAGGCCACATGCCTATTAGTGCACTCAGTGTTTCTCAACCTTGGTGACTTGAAGACACGTGGACTTCAATTCCCAGAATTCCCAGCCAGCCATTCTGGGAGTTGAAGTCGACGTGTCTTCAAGTCACCAAGGTTGAGAAACACTGAGTGCACTAATGATTACAGCGTTGCTTGCTGTTGAGCCTTCTGTGTTAATCATTGTTCTTTTTGAATTTCTGCATAGATATTTATATTTGAAAACAACATCTACTACTGTGCCCATATGGGGAAGCAAGCCATTCGCGTGGTCTCCACTGGAAAAGACAAAGTTATTTTCAATGGACTCAGTGACTGGCTATATGAAGGTAAGATGAGAATTGAAAAGCATGACCAACCTCTTAATACTTCTGAGAGGACTTCTTTCACATTGCTAGAAATTACATAGAATAATCATAGGAAAGGAAGGGGGTTTGGTCCAACTTCCTATGAGAGCAGCTCTGATTCAAACCTTTAATGGAAAAGAGTCTACACCTTTCTGAGGCCCTCTCTTTTATTGCTGGATGGTTTGACTAAACTTTTAGTGAAAATCTTTTTGTAATTTGAAGCCTGGAATAACAGAAAACAACTTGCTCCATCTTCAGTGTGACAGTTGTTCATAACACCTCTAAATAATTTTGTTTATGTGAGATAACGTTCAATTCTTCAGCTTTTCCTCATAGAGTTTTCTTTCCAACCATTTGCAATTCCTCCCTTCCTTCCTTCCTTCCCCTCCCCTTCCCGAGGGCACATGTCCAAAAACAAACATTATACAGGTAGTCCTCACTTATCAACTGCTCATTCAGCAACCATTCGAAGTTACGACAGCACTGAAAAAGGAGACTTATGATAGGTCCTCAAAGTTACAGCCGTTGCAGTGTCCCCACAGTCTCAGGATCACAATTCGGGTGCTTGGCAACTGGCACGCATTTACAACAGTCGCAGCACCACGTGATCACCATTTGTGACCTTCACAGCCGGCTTCCAACAAGCAAAGTCAATGGGGAAGCCAGTAGGAGGCTGCAAGTCACAGTCATGTGACATCGTGCTTAATAACCCATGGTGATTCACTTCACAACTGCAATGGAATTGATGTCATAAGTCGGCGCAGTCACATGACATTTCACTTTACAACCATGTTGCTCAACGATGGAGTTGCTGGTCCCAATTGCAGTTGGTAAGTGAGGACTATCTGTATAAACAGACTCAATCTCCTGACAAACCCAAGAATGTCAACCTACTGTTGATTTTTCCCTAAGAATGGCAAACCAAATGGTGTATCCATTCTCTGTAGTGATCTGTACTGAAAACCAGTAAGATGAAACGTTTCTTGCTTAGGAGCTTTTCTTTTCATCGGATCCTATCATGCTTCATTTGGACCTCCAGAGTCTACTTTTAAAAAGTTTAGACAGTGTCTTCTGTGTTTCCTTTGACTGGCTATACTGACCACAGCAAATGATGAAGAAGAAGAATTTGAATTTATTACTACTTTCCTTTTGAATTGTCTCTGTCTATTGCTACCTTATTGATTGATTTGATTTGATTTGTATGGCTGCCCATTTTAAAACGCAACTCTGGATGGCTTAAAATAATCCACCTGATACAGGTTTTATAGCTTGTGATTCTCAGTTCGACCTCACCAGTTGCAATAGGTGTCACCCATAACTATTTCTTTCTATTGATTATTGCATTTTTATCTTGCCTTGCCTTTAAAGAGCTGAAGGTGTGTACATCACATCATAATGGAGAGATGGTTGAGAGATGGTGACTGACCCAAAGTCATCCAGTGAGCCCCGTGGTTGAGTAGGAAACAGAACCTGGGTCTCCCCGCTCTCAATCCAATACTCTTAACCACTCTACCAGTCTAATGCGGTTAGCTGTAGTCTTCTGTGGGCTTTAGGCTTTCACTCCAAAATATCTAAACACCTCAGAAAGGGTTGGTGCTCCATTCTGTGAAAACTCTTGTTATTGAAAGTTAGGCAATACTTCCATTTCCATTTCAGTTGTGATCCATTTTAATTAAGATATGCCCTCGCTCACAACTTTAGGCTAGCCTGTTTCCTTCTTTCTGAAATGCCAGGATGCGTTTGCACAGACCCAGTTGTTAAGTGGTGACTGTGCTGTCAGCAGAGGAGCCCTTCGGTTTGCAGAAAGGCCATTCTGGATCAAATACAGCAGATGGCCCCTTTCATGTCTGCTTATGGAGTTATAATGCATGGCCAAATCACCTTTCCAGCTACATGGCCTCCCCTTTCGTCCTTCAATCAAATGTTGCTTTGCATAACCAGATTGTAAAGCTTCTTTCAGCATTCTTTGGCGGGGGGGCAATATGAATAAATGGAAAAATGTGTCAAGCTTGGCATATTGTCAAAACAACCCGATCATGCTTTCAGCCTCCCTCCTTCCGGTTGGAGGGATTGTCTTCACAGCTCAACAGGAGAGACAATGTCAGCTGGTTGTTTCAGAAACATGAAGAAACTTTTGCTCTGCAGAAAGGTACAAGCTAATTGTCCTTATAAAGCAGAGCAAGTATAGAGTGAATAGGAAACTTCATTCCTGAGACTAATAAATAGCATTCCTTGTCTAGACTCATAAGCTTCTGCACGGCCAGCTTCACTGGTTGGAAAGCCTCAAAATAAGACCTATTTGTTTTAGAAATGCAGAGGCTTATACTTGCACACCCTTACTTAGCTTACAATATTATGATATTCGTTCCTTTACTCTGACCTTAAGTGGCCAGCTCTGGCTGGCTTGCTCACACTTTGTTGGCTAAGTTCTCAGAGGGAGGGAAGACAATTCAGTAAAGCAGAAAAAATGGGAAGCAAATAGCCTTTTAAAGTTTGTCAGCTTGCAAGCTGCATAACTAGTTTCTGCTCGAAAGGAGAGGGGTTCACTCCTCCTGAATTCAGTGCAGTTTGAAACTTCACACCTTTCGACAAGATAGGCATGGATGACACTACTAGCTAGTTGAGTTTCTTAATTATTGTCTGGTAAACCATCAGGATTGTAGACTAGACCTGGATGTTGAAAAACATCCCCAAGGAAGGTATGTCAAACCACTATTTTCCTGCCAAGAGAACTGCTGGGTTGTGTCCAGGAGAAACAGGGAGCTGACTTCAATTCAAGGGCATCTTTACAGCTTATGCTGAGTAATAAGATTAAGAGAAGACAAGAAATATAAATATCCTTTATATGTATTTCAAAATATACGAAAGAGAAAAATTAGGCATAAAATATATCTTCAACAATACATAAAAGTGACAACAAATAAATAAATAATATAATACATATATACCAAAAGAGCAGGGAATTAAGCAATGGGCCTAAAAGGAAAATCAGAAAGCAAAAACAAGTAAGAAGAAGATTCTCTTATACAGAGTTCGCCACCTGATTCAATTATGTTCACAGCCAAAAAGCAATCTCTTGTTAACTCTATAGTTAATTCTATTAAAGCTGAAGAAGATTCTCTTATACAGAGTTCGCCACCTGATTCAATTATGTTCACAGCCAAAAAGCAATCTCTTGTTAACTCTATAGTTAATTCTATTAAAGCTGTAGATCTTGCAAATATCCAACAAGTCTCAATTTTAGCAGGCTTGTTGTTGTTCAGTTGTTAAGTTGTGTCCAACTCTTCGTGACCCCATGAACCATATT